ATGTTTGAAAATTCACAAAATTTCAAAATGTCACACCGTGCCTGTCCACCCCATCCCCTGCAGTCACTCGATCACAGTGTGGGTGCTTGGCAATCTGTTCTCACTTGCAACCTGTTGCCAAATGTCCCACAATCATGTGATTGCCATTTGCATTCTTCTCTGCTGGCTTCCCCAGAAAGTCAGTGGGGAAGCCAGCAGGAAGATTGCAAGCAGCTGCCACTTGCTGAGAGGATTCCTTCTTGTCTCTGGAGACTGGCTGAAAGAGCTACCTGCTGAAGCTGAACTCCTTCAGTGGGGTGGAGAAGTTGCCTACCAGGGCAGTTCCCTTCCATGCATGGAGGGAAGCCTAACACCTCTGGTATGGTAAAAGATAATAAAAAAACAGATCTGCCAACATCTAGAAACAAGTAAAGTAAAAACTATCTGCATGGGTTTGTTAAAAACACATCATGCCAAACCAATCTTATTTCATTCTTCAACATAGTGACTAAATTAATAGACTAGCGAAATACTGTGGACATAATATACTTAGACTTCAGCAAGGCATTCGACAAAGTAGATCACAACCTACTTCTTGGTAAGCTAGAAAAAAGTGGGATAGATAGCATCACCACCAGATGGATTTGCAACTGGCTGACAAACCTTACTCAACCAGTAGTCCTTAATGGGTCTAAGTCTACATGGAGCAAAGTAAGCAGTGGGATAGCACAAGGTTCCATCTTAGGCCCAGTACTCTTCAATATCTTCACAAATGACTTAGATGAGGGAATAGAAGGGGAACTTACCAAATTTGCAGATGATACTAAGCTGGCAGCAACAGGGCCGGATTTTCCTATAGGCTAACTAGGCTTCAGCCTAGGGCCTCAAGATCAAGAGGGGCCTACATTCCCTACATTCAAATTGTTAGCAAAATTAAAATTACACTTTCACTATAGGTGAAAGGGCCTCATAAGTGGAATAGCCTAGGGCCTCTTTTCATCTAAATCCGGCCCTGGGCAGCAATAGCTATGACCCTAGAAGATAGGCTCAAGATCCAGATGGATCTTGACAGACTTGAACACTGGGCCCTATCTAACAAAATGAAATTCAATGTAGAGAAAAGTAAAGTCCTACATTTAAGCAAGAAGAACCAAGACTACACATATAGACTGGGTGAAACCAGGCTTAATAGCAGTAACTGAGAGGGATCTTGGAGTCTTAGTGAACAATCAGCTTAAGTATGAGCCAATAGTGTGCAGCAGCAACCAAAAAAGCCAATGCAATCCTAAATTGCATTAACAGAGGGATATAATCAAGATCAAGTGAGGTACTAATACCATTCTATAAAGCCTTAGTAAGACCACACCTAAAGTACTGCATCCAGTTTTGGTCACCACACTACAGGGTGGATAAAAATCAATGATTTTTTTAAAAAAATCAAAAAAATCAGATTTTTTTTATTTAAATCGGATTTTTTTTATTTAAATTGGATTTTTTTGATTTTTATCGAATTTATTTTAATAAAAAACTTTGGGGGTAAAAATCTATCGTAAGATAGTTTTCTATTTAAGATACATAAATAATTTAGTTTATTCAGCATGAAATGGAGCTTAGTTATGTAGCATGAGGCTGTATATTCTACAACACTGGGACTATCGGTGAGTCAACAGTGGGTCAAAGGAGTAGCAGAGATGACAGTTGCTCTTTAAAAATTATGATTTAAATCGAGTTGATTTAAATCAAGCCTTTTTACTAGTGATTTAAATCATGATTTAAATTGTGATTTAAATCAACTCGATTTAAATCAAATCCACCCTGCCACACTATAAAAAAGATGTTGAGACTCTAGAAACAGTGCAGAGAAAAACAAACAGGATGATTAGGGGACTGGAGACTAAAACATATGAAGAACGGTTACAGGAACTGGGTATGGCTAGTCTTGTGAAGAGAAGGACCAGGGGAAACATGATTGTTGAGGGGCTGCCACAGAGAGGAAGGGGTCAAGCTATTTTCCAAAGCACCTGTAGGCCAGACAAGGAATAATGGATGGAAACTGAACAAGGAGAGATTTAACCTGGAAATAAAGAGAAATTTTCTGACAGTGACCACTAAAAAGTGGTCTCATCAGACTCCCAAGGGAGCTCGTGGCACCAAAAAGTTAAGAAACTGATCTAAAAGGTCTATTCTACAGGTGGAATGCTAATATAATACTCTTTTTCTTTGTTTTCCCAGGAGGGGGAGCTTTTAAGACACAGAGACTTAACAGTTGATAGTTTTTTTTATAACTGCCGAGCAGCCTCTGACTTTCCAACCCTTTCTCCGCTCTGAGTCTTCCAGAACTATTGGAATTACAACTCCCAGAAATCCAAACCATACTGACAACAAATACAATAAAAGTTCTTTATTCACTTGCACTTGCACTTGCGGTGGGAGGAATGCCTCCCACCGCAACCCTCTAGAAAATGCCTTCTCTGCTCTTAAGCAGCCCCAAGGTAGATGCCAGAAAAAGCAATTAATTATATAAACTTCTAAATGTTGAATGAATGTCTCCTGCCTACATAAATGTGCTTGTAAATAAAACGATAATCTTGATATATTTTAAGTGATGCAGTACTTATATTTTAAGTGATGTAGTACTGTCAGTCCTAGAAGAGATCAACCCTGACTGCTCTTTAGATCCTGAAGATGAAACTCAAATACTTTGGCCACCTAATGAGAAGGAAGGACTCACTGGAGAAGAGCCTAGTGTTGGGAATGATTGAGGGCAAAAGAAGAAAGGAACAACAGAGATTGAGGTGGCTGGATGGAGTCACTGAAGCAATAGGCGTGAGCTTAAATGGATTCCAGAGGATGGTAGAGGACAGGAAAGCCTGGAGGAAGGTTGTCCATGGGGTCGCGATGGGTCGGACATGACTTCGCAACTAACAACAACAACAAAGTACTTATAAAAGCAAGGTGTTAGGTGCAAAAAGAAATGAATTAACTTGTGCAGTAAAATGCACAGCCTTGTTCTCATGGCCTCTTAGAAAAGTGCATCTAGTCAAGAATTCAGTTCTATCTGAACAAAGATAACAGATTTTCTCCGGTCACCCTGTGTGTGTAACAAACAGCATTGCTTTCCTGAATGTTCAGTGCAACCCTCTGTGCTGCTTTTGTTGCGCCAGACCGGGGCTTCTCAAACTTAGCAATATTAAGATGTGTGGGAGTTCAAATCCACACATCTTGAAGTTGCCAAGTTGGAGAGATATTGCAGTAGACTGACAGCCCCTGGAAACAGTTTGCATGAGTGGCTAAAGGTAATATCTTTGATAAATCAGCATAGTAATTGAGAATTGCAGATTAGTTACAGGTACTCCTTATAATCATTTGTTTAGTGACCATTGAAAGTTAAAAAGGTGGTGAAAAAATAATTTATGGCCATTTTTTACGCTTATGGCGATTGTAACATCTCCATGATTATGTGATCTAAAAGTCAGACGCTTGGCAACTGGCATGCATGTATAACTGTTGCAGTGTCCCAGGGTCATGTCAGGGGTGAAAAGCTCCCGGTTCAGACCGGTTTGCCTGATCCAGTAGCGATGGCAGCGGGTGGTTCAGAGAACCAGTGGCAAAAATCCCTGTCTCCCCCCCCCCATGCCCAGCTGAGTCACCCGATCCTCAGAGGCTGTTTTTTTTACTTTTTAAAGCATTTTTTCTACAACCTCTTCGGCTGAAAAAATACTTTTAAATGTAAAAAAAAAAAGCCTCTGATGATTGCGCAGCTCAGCTGGGATCGTCAGAGGCTTTTAAAGGCATTTTTTCTACAACCTCTTTGGCTGAAGGAAAAAAAATGATTTTAAAAGCCTCTGACGATCCCAGCTGAGTTGCCTGATCCTCAGACACTTTTAAAAACATTTTTTTCTGCAACCTCTTCGGCCAAAGAGGTTGTAGAAAAAATGATTTTAAAAGCCTCTGACGATCCCAGCTGAGTTGCCTGATCCTCAGAGGCTTTTAAAAGCATTTTTTTACCTCTTCGGCCAAAGAGGTTGCAGAAAAAATGCTTTTAAAAGTTTAAAAAAAAACGGCCACGCCCACCCAGTCACATTATCACCACCACCACTCTCCACCAAGCCATACCCACAGAACCGGTAATAACAAATTTTACATTTCACCACTGGGTCATGTGATCACCTTTTGCGACCTTTTGGCAAAGTCAATGGGGAAGCCAGATTCACTTAACAACCGTGTTACTAACTTAGCAACTGCAGTGATTCACTTAACAACCGTGGCAAGAAAAGTCATAAAAAGAGACAAAACTCTCTTTAACAACTGTCTGGTTTAGGAATGGACATTTTGGGCTCAATTGTAGTTGTAAATCAAGGACTACCTGTACAAGAGTTTGGCAATTTAAGCAAGCTGATAAGCAACGCAAAACTTGTGTCACATCATGATTCCTAATGCCCAGGTTTTTATTGGGTGACAATAAATGAAACTTCAGAAGTGATTTATTCCATGTATTTTAATAGCCTTCCTTCCTATATGTCTCAAGGATATCTAAATATAGGTGGAAAAACATGTCAGCCCTTTGAGGTAAACCAAATTAGGAAATTAGGATTCCACAAGAAATACCAGGACTTTACTGATACAGGCTATAATATCACAATCTCGAAAGCCTGATGAAGTTTCCCTTCCCTCCATTTTAACAACAAAAAGAATGAAGGCAGGATCACTTTAACTTTCTTTCTAATACCTCCTTCTCTTCCTGGGCTTAATTTATATTTTGCTAACAGACGCTGAACATCTTATATTTATAATCATAAGATTGTATCTTACGATGTATGATTTATCAATTTTTTGTTTGTATGTACACTGAGCTTATGCACCGGAGACAAATTCCTTGTGTGTCCAATCGCACTTGGTCAATAAAGAATATTCCTGTTCTTCTCTAAGGTTATTGCTGTGGTTCCCTACAAGATCCCCAGGCATTCCTATGGAGAAGTTTTCTTTATGCAACATCCCCATCAACTGTAAGTTTCTTATAGAGTCTTTCCATCTCTTACCTCTTACAGATCCGAGCTTACATTGGAGCTTTTGCCCCCGATGCGAATGAGGCAGCAGATCTTACAGCCCTCCGTTTTTTCTCTGTCAATTCCATTGTGGATCCCTGGGTCTTCATCATTTTTCGGACATCCATATTTCGCAGTTTGCTCCAGCGGTTTTCTAGGAGGCTAAGTTTGAAGAAGGATCTGCATTCCCAAGATCAGCTCCTGGGAACTTGGCAGAGGAAAGAATCCAATGACATACCATAAATGGATGGGAGCTGGAGATGATACAACTGGACTTCTTCTTGTGGCACATCATGGTCTTCAAAGCCAAAGTGTTGCAAGTCAATGTTTATTAAGGTTGAAAAGGGGGACCAAGATAACTCTGTGGTACTGGCTGTAGCTTCATTGGTAGACTTTTGTTCTGGTGCTTCTTCAAAAAGCCCAAGATGCAGTTTTCATAGATAGGACTCATTCATATTATGGTAACAATTTACTTGACTGGTGGGATCCATTTGCACAGAAGCATTCAGAAATGTATTTAAGTCCAAATATTCTACCAGAGATATTGGGCACTTTTAAGTTCCAATTACCTTTTCTACCAACAGATTGGATTTGCATGCTGCAAATCTGTGGTTTAAATGATTAGAAGTTGAGAAGGAGAAGAGGAATGTTCTCTGTATGTGTGAACCCTGTACCCCAAGCATGGGAGCTGATATTAATTGACTAACCATGGAAACTCACAAAAGACAAGTACAGAATATGGAATAGAAGCCTTCAGGGATATGGACTAGAAAAAGCTGCTATGCACATTCTTTCTCTTTCTCATTGCTCTGTGGTGGATTTGTGACAGATGTATTGTGTGTCCATACTTAGAGCAATTTGCACTTGTTCGTTGGCCCCTCTAAACAGAGATATTGTAAAGCTAGAGAAAGCCTTGAAAAGGAACAATTCTATTGGTGGGATTCAGCCAGTTTGCACCACTTCGGGAGAACCGGTTGTTAACTTTCTGAGCACTTTGGCAAACTGGTTGTTGGAGGAAATCATTAGGGCAGAGAACCGGTTGTTAAATTACTTGACTTCCACCACTGAATAATTCAAATGATCAAAGTGTCATTGTAATCTTAAATAAATGTTTAAATTGAGGGTTCTTTAAAGCAAATGGTTGAAAAGCAAACATTTTGACTGCTATATTTCCGTTAAATAAAGATTAAATATCCATTATCTCATTTTGGGGGGAAAAATCCAATTATAGCTTACACTTTAAACCTAAGAGGAAGCAGATTCATTTTGTTGGTAGCTTATACAATTAAATACAGTGCGATTGACTGAATTTTACAATAGTTATCTTTAGAGAAATGTTCAAGATTGAAAATATTTTAATTATTTTTTTAACTGTCCCCAAAATTTAACAATGCAGTAAATTTGCAAGATGCTTGTGTTTTTTTTAAATTAAAACTATTTGAAGAGGAAATATGAATTGGTTTTGAATGCAAGTGCATATAGTCAAAGCCATAGTTTTCATAATTGTAATATATAGCTGTGAGAAATGGACCATCAGAAATACTGAACAAAGAAAAACTGATGCCTTGGAATTATAATAGTGGACAGAGTTTTTCAGAATTTTTGAGAATGCCTGGGAATGGCAGAAGAACAGATTGTTGAAGACTAATTGAAGCAACACCAGAATGCTAACTAGAAACACTAATAAGAAAGCTCAGATTTCAATATTTTGGACCTGTAATGAAAAGGCAAGAATAGCTAGAAAAGACTAGCTAAAGGACTGGCACATGGAAAAAGCTAAAGCAGAAAAGAAGTAGTTAGAAGCTATTAATAATGACACAGGTGGGAGTTTATAAAGAAGTGGTTATTGACAATCTGGAAAAATGATGCCTAGATTGTTCACCAAGAGTTAAAAGCAATTGAATGAACAACAGCATCCAGGCCATCAAATGTTCTGAAGCTTAGTCAGAAGCCGAGCTGATTCAACAGCAGAAAAAATACACTGAATAATTTGGTACATGCATACTGTATGTTCCTTTGAATTTTGGGTGCCTTTCTGATTGCCCCACCTTAGAGTGGGTATATTAGAGGTGGCAGGAGCTAAAGGAAGGGCAGCTGAAGTGTAATATCTTCGTCTAAAGAACAGTAACAATGGCTGTGGCTTTCTAATAAGTAACTTTCTCTTATTAGAAAGTCACAGAGTTTTGGACTGCAATTCTCTTAGCTTCTTAGACCTAGGATTGCAGCTGCTTTTCTGAGCTCTAAATGGGATTCCAGGAAAAATTCCATTTGGCATATGGATTGGCTTCTCTCCTCTCCAGGGTGCTCTGGAATTCTTCTTTGCTTTCAAATCCTAAGTATTGCAAAGCCTAGTTTCCACTGTTTGTTTAAAAATAATAATAATAATAAGGGAGCAACATCGTTCTTCCTGGAATTAGAGCTGATAGGTCTCAAATAGCAATTCCCAGACATTTGGCCAATGGAGGTGAAGAAATGCTGGCACAGTGGCCAACCTTTGCTAGAGGTTGCTGTCGAACAGTTCTTCTCAGTGCAATTCCAAAAGTTCTGTTTCTGTATACCAGCACTGGAAGGTTAAGATGCTGGAATATTAAGAATCACTGTGGATCGTATTCTTCTCCTTTGTCCCATTCCTCAACATATGTCAGCAAACCTAGATGGGAAGCAGCAATACAGTGCCTGCAACGACCAAGTATCTTTCCTCCTCCCCTCAATTGCCATCAACAGTGCACCCAAAGTTAAAATTACAATAATATAAATGTACTGACTGTATTGAAATAGTGCAAATCTGACAAATCCGAAACTCCGCATGAAAACCTATAAGAATTTGGCCCTGTTGCACCAACTCTTGTAAGATCTCAAGATGAAACCATCAAAATCTTGGCATTATCTGCTGAATTCATGAAATGCGGGATGGTGTGAACCTAAACACCTGACATGTTTGCAGTTTCTTCATTTTATTAATTCTCTTCCATAGGTTGCCCACAATAGGAATGCTGTGTGAGTGGTGGGCACAAAAAAAAGAGAAAAATGAAGAAAAATAATTTGCCTCTTTTCTTTCTGACTGCCACAAATTGCACAGATGATCATCATGGATCTCCTATTGCTGTGCTTGGCCCAACCCCATTTACCGGAACAAAAATTGAATTCCAGGTAGACATATAAAAGTTTGCACTGGACAAGGTCAAAGAGATTGCAGAATTATTCCCTTTCAGCCTGCCATAACTGTTACATGGATTTTGACTTGATACGAACAGAAAATCTATGATTTTTCACACAATTCATTACTGTGATTTTTTTTTTAAAAAAAGGGATTAAGACATTTACAAAGCCTACATTGATATCTCTGGATTTCCTGGGCACATCTGTCTGGACATTGTTGACTGAGTGTTATATTAACTTTTAATGGCTTATTATATTTTTATCCACTATCAGTACTCTTATCATTGCTTGATTGGCCCTGTGCAATAAAACAGTTATGGTCAGCCTTTGATATTTCTGCAGCTCAGATATTGTGGATATATTCCCTGGGGAAAAAAGAGCAAGAAATTGACAATGTCTAGTTTTTAGTTATTTTTACAGTACATGTAAAAATGTACTGAATACAGGTATATTCCAGAATTCTGCTAAATGTTTATTTCTAGGAAATAGATGCATGCACTTTTAATACTTACAGTCATCTGAAAAGACAGATCTGTAATGGATACTTTATTACTTTGCATCCACAATTTAATAAGATGAGCCAATAACTTAGCTTCTATATTCATTATATATATTAATATATATAACAATATATATTATTCGTTCAATTGACTATGGGGGGACAGAGTGAGGTTGAAAGCAAAACAAGGATGATTTCGCAGAATGTAACGCCAACCAGAGAATTTTGCAAGTTTAGATATTTAATATTTAGCCTCTTGTAACACAAATACCTAAGAGCCAGGGGTGAAATGTTCCCGGCTCGGGCGAGTAGGTAGCGATGGCATCGGGCAGTTCGGAGATCCAGTAGCAAAAATCCCTGCCCCCGCCCCCCATGCCCAGCTGAGCAGTGCGATCATCAGAGCCTTTTTTTTCTTTTAAATGGCTCTGACAATCCAAGCTCTGACGATCCCAGCTGAGTTGCCTGCTAACCGGTAGAAAAAAATCCCTCCCCCCTCCCCCCCAGCTTGCTTACCTTAGCTGCTGGTCGCAAGGCCTTGCTGTAATCCCTGCAATCCATTGCATCAGCAAGGAACTGAATCTCCCTGCCTGCAATCAAGCTCATCGGTGAGCAGCTCTACCTGCCTGCCTGCCTTCCTGCCTGCCTGCCTTGTACCTTCTATTTCAGGGGTCTCCAACTTTGGCAACTTTAAGACTTGTGGACTTCAACTCCCAGAATTCCTCAGCCAGCAAAGCTTCTGGGAGTTGAAGTCCACAAGTCTTAAAGTTGCCAAGGTTGGAGACCCCTGTTCTATTGGGTAAGTTTTTTTCCCCTTTGGGAACTTTAAAAAAATAGTTAATTGGGTTTGTTTTTTTTAGTTGTTCTTTCTTTAGACCTAGCCATTTAAAGTTTAGGAAGTTTTAAATTTAGTTTTCATATAAAAATAAAAATAAAATAATATTTGTGCAGCTTTCTGAGATTTAGTGTGTTTCTGTAGTGTTTCACTCTAACTACACAAATACACAAAATCTCACAAAACTGTATGTGGAATTTTGTGTGTGTAAAGTGGTTCCTGCTTGTTGCAGGGGCCATTTTGGGTCTAGCACAGCTGCTTTTACATTGTGGGTGAGCCAGTTGTGTTGTGTTGTGTTGTGTGTGTGTAAAGTGTGAAAGTTGCTTTTTTGGGCTTTTTGTGGCTGTGTGAGGTTCCTGCTTGTTGCAGGGGCCATTTTGGGTCTAGCACAGCTGCTTTTACATTGTGGGTGAGCCAGTTGTGTTGTGTTGTGTTGTGTGTGTGTGTGTAAAGTGTGAAAGTTGCTTTTTTGGGCTTTTTGTGGCTGTGTGAGGTTCCTGCTTGTTGCAGGGGCCATTTTGGGTCTAGCACAGCTGCTTTTACATTATGGGTGAGCCAGTTGTGTTGTGTTGTGTTTTGTAAGTTAAAAAAGGGCAAAGAAGTGACATTGACTTGGCCACGCCCACCTGACCAACAAGCCACGCCCACCCAGTCACCTGACCAACAAGCCACACCCACTAATTAAGCCACGCCCACAGAACCGGTAGCAAAAATTTTTAGATTTCACCCCTGCTAAGAGCATTTCAGATTTTTGCTAAATGTCTAATAATAAAGAATGCATCTTGCTAATCGGAGGCAAGCCAAATGCTTAACCAGGCAAAATGTTCTACGTCTGATCCAGTGGTTGCACATATCTGGACAATAGCTAGATGGCAGTCAAGAATTAGAAAACCTCTAACTAATAATCATCTGACAGTTTCACAGAGCAGAGAGAAAATATCTGTTGACTAAGAGTACAATAAAAATGAAAAAAATACGTAATACATGGAATTACAAGCATGTTGCCACTTGGAAAAGACTTTTCATATGAATGATGATATTGGTCAGGGCTGAAATTTCAGCTGATAGAACCACAAATCCTGGTCCTTGGAATATTAGCATATTGAACATTAAAACTCTATGAATAGTAGTAGTACAATAGAGACCTGCTCCAGGAGTACAATAAAGATGCTCTATGGGGACAAACAAGATATAGGGCAGCAGGAATTCCTGTGCCTCTGAGAGAAACAGGGCAAAGCAACTGTGTGGATATGGACTAGTTTCACAGTGTGCTGTGCCACTGTTTGTAACAGTTCTGTTGAACAAGCCATAGTTACCCTGGCCATTGGTCTATTAAACAAAATGTATGGGTCCCCAGATCTTGCCAATCCATGAACACCTTTATTATAGTTTAATGCACTGAGCTAATTGCATTAGGCAGTGGAAATGAGCTGACTCTTGAGTAGCAGTGAATAGTTTTATTCTACTAGTGCAAGAGGCACATGGGGAACCTAGATGAAGGCCTGGGGGCAGGAGGGCTCTGCATTTTCCTGTTTACCTTTTCAAAAAATACCATTATATCATGCTAGAAGAAAAAGTGTGTATGTGATTACATTTAATGAAGAGGTGAAAAATATACATATCATTCCTGTGATTACGGTGCGATATGATAATTGAATGAAAAGTGCTTTCAGTGTTATAAATTGCCAAAATGTGGCAATAGTAATGCAGTAGATGTTCGTATATGTTCTTTAGCATTTGTTCTTTCAGTTGATCTGAAGTTGTTATTGGAAAAGATTGGGTTGCCATGGTTTGTGCAACGGAAGCCTGCAGTCAGTCACGAGCGTACTTTAAGCAATGTACCACGATTGAAATTTTGATTGCTGAAAGAGTTCCTCCAATTGAAATTCAGCCCTGAATGCAGAATGTTTATCCTGATTGTTGTGTTGATATGAAATGATACGTACTGCTGTACTTGTATCAATGGTGAATCCAGAAAGAACAATCAATGAGTTTCATGTAAGAAAAGCTGATGAACTGATAAAAGGCAATCACTAAAAGTGAAACTACTGGCTTGATGCTCATCAAAATCAAAAGATTTGTGCAGGATGGGTCCCTTGCATGCCATGACAGAGTTGAAACCTTAAAAATTTTAAATTTGCAAGCAGTTGTTATGCTGTTAGGCACAAGGAACTAAGATCAACAAGGTGGAATTGCTCAGAGTAGTTTCTTCATTGCTGTTTGCCCATAGACAGGAATCCTCAATCACGCTCTAAATGAGTATGAAATAAATCCTGTGAAAATTTAAGGACGATCCCTTCTGGGCCTTTTTTCACAAACTAAGGACTCAAGACTGATCTGCCTTCTTCTCCCTTGGAAAGAAACCCTTCCCTCTTATATCTCAGCACCAGATTCCGCCACATAAGCTATGAGAATAAAGAATTTCTTCACAGCAGAATTATGATGGCCAACAAAATGGGGACTCAACACAAAGTGTCAGTCCATGGAATATCATCAGAAAGCTTTGCCTGTAGGGAAAAAAAACTATGGAAGGAAAACATAAGGTTACAACTTTTGGGGATGCAGATGGTTTTATTCACATAGGTTTTTTTTTTAACCCCAAACTACTATCAACAAAGAACACTACACTGCAACACTCAAAACTTTGAAACTAGGATTAAGTAAAGTTTGGAAGTATAGAAGGAATTTGTGCTGCAGCATACTTAACCTCACACTTCATAAGTCACTCAAGAGGCACTTACAAAGTTGTATCTGCATTACCCATCCACCAAACCTGGCACCTTGTAACTTCTTCCTTTCCCCATTTTTTAAACCATCTTTATCGGCATTTGCTTCACTCAAATGAAGAGATAAAAAACCTGGTGGAAGAGACAAAGTGTGGAATTCTTTCATGATGGCTTAAGAAGGTTGTCTGTCAATGGCAGGAATGTGTAGCAAATTTGATTGTGATGCTCTCTGAGCTTGGTTGTTTTCTTGCAGATGTTTCATTAGTCTGTGGCACACAGAGAACAGGCCCAATTTAAGAGCTGACAGCTTTGCATTTGTTTTTCACTATTAGTTACACCTGAAATCTGTTAAATGGGGACAGACTTTCTAGCATGCTCTATAGCCCAGGCCTTTACCTGATAAACCATCCAAAATCCATAGCCTTGATCCTGAAGTTATAATGACAATCCTCTCTGTTTTTCTCCTTCTAATTCCCATGTCCATCTCCTCTGTGGAGTGCCTGCTTAGCAATGGAAGTATTTTGTTTTCTTTTAGTAATATTTTTTTTTTGCAATCTCCCAATTTACCTAACCTGTGGGGGTTGTTTGGATTAATATACAGGTAATCCTTACTTATCAAGTGCCCTATTTACTACCATTTAAAGTTATGGTGGCATGCAAAAAGTAACTTTACTACTGGTCCTCACACAACCAACACAGCATAGCAATAGCACTTAGACTTAATATACCGCCATGTAGTGCTTTACAGCACACTCTGAGCGGTTTACAGAGTCAGCATATTGTCCCCAAGAATCTGGGTCCTCATTTTACTGACCTTGGAAAGATGGAAGGCTGAGTCAACCTTGAACTGTTCAGGATCGAATTCCTGACTATGGGCAGAGTTTGTCTGCAATACTGCATTCTAACCACTGCGCCACCACGCATCCCTGCGATCACACGATCAAGATTCCCTGGTTACAAAAGACTTTGCAACCAGGGATGTTTACAATCATTGCAGTGTCTCGCAGTCATATGATTGCTATTTGCATAGCTGGCTTCTGAAAAGCAGAGTCAATGGATAAATTTCAGTAAAAATCATAATTCACAAGTATGTGTTGTCTCGTTTAACAACTATGGATGATTCTCTTAATGATCTTGGTGGAAGTGAAGTTTAATGTCCAATGCAATCACATGATGTTTTGCTTAGTGATGGTGTGCTGGTCCCAATTGTGACCCTTAACTAAGGACTACCCATATTGCCCTTTGTAAGGGCAGTTTCTTAGAGGTATCTTCAGGGAGGCAGATGAGAAAAGCTGGATTGCATCTTTGCAATGTAAGATCCACCTTATGTAGGTACATTAGGAAGTTGCACTCATGCCCAAAAAGGGCAAAGATTCTATTGTGAATCCACAGCTTCTGTCATTTTGACAAAGTGTTGGATTCTGTGGATACCACTTTAGTATATAAAACTGAGATAAGAAATATTTTAAGTGCAAGTGTGATGAAAAGCATAGAAGGATAGCACCAAACATTTGTTAAGCAAATCCTGTGTCTGGGTAAAGCACAGCATCTTGCAGGTAGGCAAAAGTGCAGTGTTGATGCCCCTAGAAAGGCAGGGAAGGGACCATAACTGAAAACATCCTTGCTAAGAGAACTTCTCTTCAGCATCACCTATTTTCAGTGCCACAATCTGATCCCATGTCTTCCCTTTCCAAAGATCTCAAAAACAGATAGAGTTAGACCAAAAGAGTTACTCCAAGAAATGTAAAGGGGTGTACAGTACCTCCATTTAATTATGTTTTAGGTGTTCTTCAGGAAGATCCCCAGATGACCATACAGTGGAGCAGAGATTGTCTA